GGGGGGGGGAAAAAAACAACCAACAAAACAGATAGGAAATGTAGGGCACTGTGTTTGCAAACTGCTCGTGTCTTCTGCTAATGGCGTCTTGTGCGTGGCAAGGAAAGGATGTGATGTTTGGCTTGGGCAAGGCACGATGTGGGCACCCCGGCCTGGCAGCAAGTGTTGCTCAGCTTTTCTCTCTAGTATTTCTTGTCAGTCACCGGATTTCGCTGTAGCTCGGGGAGGAAGGCGACAGGGGGAAAACAGAAAAAAAAAAAGAGGGGAGGGGGGGAAAGAAAAAAGAAAATAAGAATCAGCCACACCACACACCAAAGTTACCTGGCTTGTTGTGGCTTTTATTTAGTAGTACCACTTCCTAGGCTCAGTTCTGGCCTCCCTCCTTGAAGCCTGGTGTCCAGATGAAAACTTAACATTGCCAGACTGGAAGATGCAGAGTTGTGCTCAGTGCCTGGTTTTAGGAGTTTAGCTCCTTTTGTCCCTTTTATTTCTGCACCGTCGCGATACTTGGGCAGTAGAGCAATTCTTGGAGATTTCCAACCTTTGCTATTTCTTTTACATGAGTGCAACGAGTAAAATATTCTTTTCCAGAGCTGTGAGCGTTTGCAATGCGTCTGGGGATTATCCACGTGGTAACGAGCCCACAGCCCCACTTGCCTCACTGAGAAAAGAGAACCAGGAATAAAAACCCAATCGATATCGTGATTCCATTTTTCAAAAGCGAATCTTAGCCAATTAACAGCAATAAAACCTGGCCCCTTTTTGAAGTGCTAACTAAAATATTCGAGGGGGGTAGTTGGAAATGTTGGTCCTTTTACAATTCGCATAGAGAAGGGGAGGTAATACCATTAAACAAAAGGCACTAAGCCACATATTCAGGCTTAGTGAATTCAGCAACTTTTTATATAGGCAATTTGTTTAAGCTTAGATTTCAGAGCACGATGTGGAATATATGTTGTTGTAACCTGATCTCCCTTGGACAGATTCCTTACATCCATCCATCCATCCATCCATCCATCCATCCATCCATCCATCCGTTTACAGAGGAAAACCCAAAGCATTTTACACGTACAGCTGAACGATTTTATTTGGAGAAACGCCATTGTCCACTGCTAATTTTAAATTCAAAACATTCAATAACCTCATTTACACTGAAGCTGTTATCCCGGGCTTTCGTTTTTGGCAGCTAAAACGTGTAGCAGACCTTGAGGATATGTTTTTTTTTTTGGTTATTGAAGATCTTTGGGGTTCTCCGTGTTTTCCCTCTGGTGAGTTGTTGTGTGCTTTATAGCCAGGGTGATTCTCGGTCCAAGACAGGCAGTGTAATGTTTCGCCAACCTTCTACAGAGCCGGAATGAACCCAAGAATACGATTATAGTTTCCCCTGTGATTTTTTTTTACGGCTTTTTAAGGACTGGGGTGTTAAAATACTTTGCGGAACTGGAGAGGTAGATTAGCAGGGTCTCTTGCCAAAGCTGGGAATCTGGTATTACAGACTGTCCCAGGGGGAAATCGCTCACATTAACCACTAAATGAATATTTGACAAGGGCTCATTCGGGGGTATTATTACTACAAACGGGTCCCTACTGGACTTTCCAAGGGTCAAAGAGCAATGGTTCAATTAATTATTTAGACTGTTAGTAGATTTGGTTGTAATAGCTGTACTTATTTCTACAACCGACAGCTTCTTGCGGTGAGGGACCTGGGGAGAGGCTCTGCCTCGCAGCCTCTGCTCCAGCCCGCGGCCGGCAGGGACGGGCAGAGCGGCTGTCGGCAGATGCTTCTGGCCTAATCATCAGTTTTTATTCCATGAGATACCCACTGGTGCCGTGTGGGACACCGGGGGTGGCGGTGAGCCCCACAGCAGCGTGTTCTCTCTCCAGATCAATTCCTCCAGGTCCCCAACGGGCAGCAAACCTGTATTTATCTCCGAACGGGAGGCAGATAGCTCAGCAATTGAAGTAGTACATAATGTAGGTGCCACTGAAAGAAAGAGGCCCATTACTGATAGGTGTGATTAGATACACTTCAGTTATTTAAATCCAGGTCTAACTCAAATATTAAAATCTAAAGCCTGCTTGGGTGCGTGCGAGATTCCCGAGGATATATGCAAAATAATGATATTCTGATGGCAGAATAGCTTCGTTTTCGCGTTTTTAACTCTAGCCAGTCTCGCCTGACACTGTCGTTTCAACATTTTTGTTGTTTGAGGGGCGGGGGGGGGAGAGAAGGGAGGATTATTTTGTTTAATTTCTACAACAAACATGTCCGCAGTAGTAGAAACTTAAAAAAAAAAAAAAATGTTGGGAGTGTGCGATTAGGTGACAATAATATATGTTGAATGAATAAGAGATAAGCTGCAAGGGGGGAGAGGGAAGCAGTAATTACAAACCCAATTCATTCAGCTTTTCAGGACTTTTGTTGTGGGAGCTCCATTGACGGGCTTCGAGCTGCCAGTTTTCTCACATTAAAAAGAACTGATCAGCGCCTCAGGGGGACAAGCAACACCGCTTAACTGCATAGTGATGGGGTCCTCATTTAGAGCCATTACAACAAGAAAATTAAACAGAGCCTTTGTGTGCACCAGGTTTACTTTTCAATTGCTGACAGTTTATAGCTAACTGCTCAGAGATTGAAGTTTGATTGCGGTTTGATCGCCTGCTAGTTAGCACCAGCGCTATTTTAGTTTTGGTAATTAAACCCAGTTTTTCTGACGGTGGCACGGGGAGCTGCGAGAAGTTCGGTGCTCTTCTGCTTTTGAGGAATCAATTGCCTTGGCGAGGACATACCGCGCTGAAGTGAGTGTGGGGGCTGTTTCACTCGCGACCTGAAAAGAAAAGGAAGCCAGGAATGGAAATTCTCGGAACTGCAGAGTTGGCTGAGCGGGAGGGCGAGCTCCGCTCCGTCCCTCGGGCGCCCGGCGGTTCTGCCCGGGACCGGCCGCGCTGCCCGCTCCGCGCTCGGCGGAACTGCCGGGCAGGTGCCGGGCGGAGCAGGGAGCGGATGGGGTACAAAGCAACCCCCCCCCCCACCCTTGCCGTGATGATTTGGAAGCTTTGCTTCTGGACTACGCGACGGTTTGGTAGAGCTGAGCCCCGTGAGTGTGTCTGTGCGTGTGTGTGTTTGTATCGGTGTGCGCCTGTGCGTGCGGGGGGGCGGAGGGGGGAGGAGGGGA